ATATATATAAAATGTGTGTGTGTTATTTAAATAGTCATGTATGGTTGCTGAATGAGGCTGAATCTGATGGTGTTTTTTATTCATTTATTTATTTTTTCCGTTTCGAATTTTAGATTTTCCACCAGATGCTATTCAAAGGTGGTAAAATGTATTTTATATTAGATTCATTATCATCTTGTTCCCTAAAATGTTTATAATTTCCTATAAAATTAGCCTTGTATGGTTCCTCCTTTGTGTAAAATTTCGTTGTCTTGGATCTGACTAGTTTCTATTTTTAACTTTAAAGGGGACATATTATGCAAAATCCACTTTTTTAGCTGTTAAATACATTTTGTTGTGTAGTGGAGTCTCTAGGAGTGCAGAAACGTTTAATTTAGTCTTTCCTGTTGCTGCAAAGCTATCTTTATATCCTGTGTGGGTCATATTTTTCAACCCGTTCAGTTTTCTGAGTTATTACGTCAAATTATCTGTGACAGACTTGCCAAATAAAGTCTGGACTTACCAACTACAATTTCCTCATCTTAATTCTCCTCTGCCTCTGGGTCAGGCTCCAACATGTAAGGCTGGATGGACAAGTCTTCCTTTGTTGACGTCTTTTAATTAAGTTGTAAATAAAACATTTCTGCACCGCTAGAAAATGCTAACCCCCTCTCACAAGCCAGAGTGGACCTGTCTGGAAGCCTGGGGGTGGGGGGGACTTGAAGTGCCTTACAGGCACAGTATCAAAACCAGCTGCTATTAGGCGTACATCAGAAAACAGGTGAAAGAAGGGCTGGCAAAGTTAAAAATAATGAGGAATTCAGACCAAAGCATTGCAATTCCACTTTATAAAGACCCCAACTGAATGATTTAAATGTGAAAAGAAAGGATTTAAACACATGAAATGTCCACTTTAATATCAGTAATGTGCATCACTGTGATATAATAAAAGCATTTCTACAAGGTCTGTTGCCTGTACGGTGGGTGTCAGAAAGGCACCTCCAAATAAAATCTATAATTTTTAAGTTTTGTTAGTTCGTATAGAAACGTGTGAATAACCTGTGTTTGTAACACTGTCTACATGTGAAGGTATGGACCTGATTGATCCTAAAGAGCTGGAGAGCATGAAACATCAGCTTGAGGATGCTCAGCGCTGGAACGCATCCCTGCAGGCTCGCTTAGGAGCAATACAGAACCGAGGAGGAGGTGTTGGTGGAGCTAATGATAGTAGTAAGACTAATAAACTAGCCATTCAGATTTCTGCTCACAGTTGATTTACAAATGTTGGCAGAGTTTTGTTTAAGGTGTACATCTCTTTACTTTGTGTTTTGTTTTTTCAGGTGAGACTTTGAGTTTCATTGGAGATCAGACCTCCTACATGAGTATCTGTGTGGGTGAAGGTGCAGATGATAGCTTGGCTCAACTTTCTGCTCAGGAGCTCAAACAGAAGGTGAATTTCTACTAAAATAAGTACTCTCTTGTAAAACAGTTTCTTGTACTTTTTTTTTCTTTTCTTCTGAATTTGCTAATTAGCATGCACAATGTGACATTAAAATTAGGGATGCACCGATATGAAAATTTCAGCTGATATCAATATCCAATAGAATTATTGCTGTTGTGGCCAATAACCGATGTTTACCGATATTACACAAATTATATTATACATATACACACAAACGCACTTGAGTCTTTTTTGATACTGTAAATAAACAACCAGACATCTGACATGGCCCTACTTCAGTTATTCCTGGTTGTCAATATCACTATCATGATCAAACAGATGCTGCTCAACCAACCATCTCCCATCCCAAAACAGAAACACAAAGCTAAAATGTAGGAAATCAATATCGGATGTTAATATCAGCCCACTTTTACATATCGGACTGATATTCCAAAAAAAATGACCAATATCGGCCCGATACCGATATTAATGCCGATATATCGTGCATCCCTAATTAAAGTATAAACAAGTTTTGATTGAGATGCAAATGGTTGACAGCAATTTGTTTTGCACTATAGGTGTTGGAGCTGCAGAGTTTAAACAGTGAGCTGCAGAGCAGGCTGTCACAAATGGAGAAATCAGAGCGGGATGCTTGTGAAAAGGAAGGCAAAGATCTAACAAGCAGAAGCCGGTACAAACAGGTTAGAGGCCTTGAAAGACGGCTGCAAATGGACAAAGTTTAATATGAAGTTGTGGTGTAAACGTGTTTTTAATAAGTTGTAGAAAATTAGACAAATTACAGTTAAAAATACTGGAATCATGAGTCATTGTCTAACACCCATCTTTATTTACTCCTTTTTAACTTCTTAACCTACAGCTTAAAGGGGGGATCTGATTTCTCTCTGGGATCAAAGTATTTTGAATTGAATTGAGTTGAATTATGCCAGTTATTACTCATTCATTCACATTTGAGAAATCCTTGAATCTTCTGTTGTTGCCACGTGGAGCTACCTAAATGCTTGCTATTTATCCAAAGCACCACCCATTTGTACTCAGCACCTCCTTGGTGCTCAGTCCCCAGTCGAGTTTCGTCCCACAGAGCACCCCTCCCCCGAAGCATTGTTGTGTGCTGAAGTGGGAGTGTCAGAAATGGTGGGAGGCTGACACAAATTAAAATTTATTTTTGATAAGTACAGCTTATTCAAAACAACCGAAGCTGACATAGTTACTTGATTGTAATGCAGAATTGAACTATGTGCCTGGAAAATACATAATACCCCCCTTTAACCTCTTCTCTTTCTAGCTTGTTACTACTGTCTCTTTAGTAGAGCTAATTTCTTGTCTAAGTTTATAGAAACAACCCTCTTTCACTAACCTTCTTTTTCCTAATCAGTCCCTGTTTTTTATCTCTGTGTCCCATAAAACGGTCTCTCTTTGCCATGCCACATTAGACACATCATGCCATTCTGCTGTTGCTGTGCAGTGTTTTATGGATTCTGTTCCCTTTTTAAGTTTTCTTTTACCGAGCCATGTGTGTCATACTCGCCTCCCATCCCATTAATCTAGCAGCTTGATGAGATGCAACCACTGACTCACAGTGACAGGGCACATATTCCTGATCAGGATAAGGAGAGCCAAACAGACATGGACACAGGAGAGGTATGAAGTATTCGATTTCTATGTTAGTACCTAAAGTATGATTTGAAAAGGTTGTTCAGAAATTTAATCTACCGTTAAGTAAAATTGTAATTTCCTTTTTTTCCCTCACATTTTTAGATGACATCTGGACACCTGATGGGCGATAACAACATGAACAGTTGGCTCACAAACCTCACGGACACCAAAGAAAACACAGACTTACTGCCACTTCACTCTTTGCTTACAGATTGTGGCTCCACCTCAGTAGTAGAGCTAAGGTGGGTATTTTTACTCAGCATGATTCAGAACTGACTTAATATTTTCACTCTTAACAGCAGGTTTCTTAAACATTTGTCAAATATTGCTTATTACAGAGAGGAGCTGCTGCGGCTTAGATCAGAAACTGCACAGCTGCAGGGTCTCCTTAAAGAACAGAAATCGGCCGAGTGCAAAGAGAAAGAAAGCACAGATATTTCAGGGAACAGCAGCGATGAACAGGCCGAATTGAGGAAGAGTTTGGAAACACTGCAAGCTAAACCTAATCACAGTTTTAAGGACACCAAACTATTAAAGGAAAGGACAGAAAAGAAGTCAAATGATGTGTCAGATGGAGAGACTCCTTTAACTTCTGTCAGCGCTGCAGATGAGATGGAGAGTCCCAAACATCAGTGTCAGTCACAAGGCAAGAGGGCAAAGCAGCTTGTTACAAGACACAGGGTAAGTTTTATACTAATAAAAATATCACATTTTTTCTTTTTTATATTGCTGTTTTTAATTGTTCTTTATTTTTTCATGTGTTTTCATTTGTATCAATTACAGGCTGGCGTCAAATCTCGCCTCCCTGTGCCTGTCAGGCCTAGAATAGAAGGGAGCATCAGCAGGCAGTCACTGAGCTATGACCAGATGCAAACTGAGACACAGCAGCATCTTCATCTTGATAATGACTTTGGTTCTGATCAGGCGTTGCAAACAGACTCTGATTCAGCACTAGAACTTCACACATCCCCTTCCACCGCTCTGAGATGTACTCAAACTAGCTGCAGTCCAGCAGGCTCTGACGGCGGCTCTGAAGCCAGAATGTTAGAGGATCGAACCCAAGGAGAGTCAGCTCTTCTCACTCAGCTTGAACTTCTCCACCAGGAGTGCCAGGAAAAGGAGGTCCTGATCACCAAGATGAGCGAGCAGCTTGCTGATTTAGAAGAGCTCCATGCTCAGCTTCAGGAAAAGGAGAGGCTGAACTGCCAGTACACAAAGGCTTTACAGGCTGCGCAGTCCACCATCGCTTACCTGACCGCCTGCAGTCTGGACAACCAGGGTGGGTTTGGTTCACACGCAGGCTCAGGTGGCTCTGTTGCAGAGCTCCACAGTAGATGCATGGAGCTGCAGAGCGCTCTACAGGAGAAAGAGGAGCTCAACAGCCAGCTTATTGAGCTCCTGAACATGGCAGAGAAGGCCATCACCACATCTCACAGCCAAAATATGGAACCTGAAGCTAGAGATCTTTGTTTAAGAATAGAGAGTGCTTTGCACCAGGGAGGTGCGTCTTCAAACACAGATAGCCCAAGGTTAGCTGAGGAGTCACTGCATGAACTGCAGCGACACGCAGACTCTTTGCAAGAAGCTCTTTTGGAACAGAGCAGGCTCAATGCAGAGCTTCAGGAACAGCTGAGGGCTGCAAATACTGCTGCACAACATGGCCACATGAGTGACGGTGTTCCCCTAAATGGCACCACCTCGAGGCAGAGAGCAGCAACAGCAGAGTTGATTGACGAGGAGGAAACTGAGGAACACCCTGGTACAACAAGAAGTTTTGATGACACTAGTTTAAATCAACAGTTCAGTGTTTTAATGAACTGCTTCAGTGCAGCAGAGTCTGTCGTCGCCTCTTTAGCAGCTCACTGTGCTGATAATGGCTCACAGACCTCTGATAAGTCTGTGGAAATCAGCCCCGACCTGCAGACACATTTGCACAATCTACAGAGTGTCCTCCTCAAACGAAGCCAACTGGCTGATCCTGCTCACCCAAAAATTAAACCTGAAGGAAGTCTCACCGATTTAACCGAACCTGAAGGGCTGAAGCTCCATCAGGATCTCTGTCTCCTCTACAAGGCTTTCAGGCGTCACTCTCAGAGGATAGCTGATCTCCAGGCTGGCTTGCAGGAGGAGAAGGCCCACAGAAGGGAGAGTGAGGGCCGCAGGACAGCTCAGGATGCCAAGGGATTACCACCAAATGTTCAGCTCCAACTGGAGACTTTACATAAAGCTCTGAGGGAGAAAAAGAAAGCCTGTAAAACTCTAGAGGAGAAACTGGCAACTGCTCTTACCAAAACGCCCTCTCCTGAAACTGCACGAAAAGGTGAGATATTGCTGGCTTTGGTTTACAACAGATGAAATGATTAATTACCTTGTGACACAGCTAATGTGTGAATGTGAAAATGTAAACTCCGCTCATCCAAAATAAAGAAGGTATAAGATTCAGTTTGCGTCTAAATGACTTGCTTTCTAACGTAAAATGTATTGCTTCCAATGCCAGCTCCTGAGCAGGGAGACAAAAGCGTGCAGGTGGATTTGCAGGACCTGGGTTACGAGACCAGTGGAAAGAGTGAGAACGATAGGGAAGAGAGCAGTAGCACAGGTAGACAGCTTACAGGCAGACACTGCATGTGTGTCTGCTGACTGGACACTATTCTCACATGGATAAATCAATTCACTCCATGCATGATGAGGGATCTAAGGTGTTTTTAATTGAGTCTCTTAACATGCAGTCTTTTTTTCTGGTTTTAACGTAAAATCTCTTCTGCACTGTGCCCCCTAATGGAATTTGTGTTGATAAATTCTTGCATGTTTCTAAAGTTTGGGGTTGTTTTAAGCACTTATTAACCTATCACTTTTTTTCTTGTCTTTTTTTTAAATTTTACTCTGTATCAGATGATTTATTTGTTCACACGGCACTGCTATTATTTTGTGATAGATTTGTTGCTTAGTGTAATGTCTTTGTCTGCCTGTGCTGCCAGATCTAGAGGTGGGTGTCAACCCTAGCTGCAGTCCGTTCAGTCTGCCTACACTGCTGAAACACGAACATGCTGCCTTCTCCTCGACTGAAAACTTGGACTCAACCTCCAGCACTCCGTACCCGAGTTCCCCAGCTCTCAGCTCGGCTAAGGTATTAATATTGTAACTGCTTGCCAGTTCCAACCTTGTTAGCTTTTTCAGTTAATGTGTTATTTGTCAGCATGTTCATAAAATCATTATAAAAATCACACGTTCTAGTCAGAGCTGACTTCATTTTGAATACTTGTAGTTTGCACAATAACTCAATAACTCAATTTTTTTTATATTAGGGTAAAATAAATTCAACTAGTTTTCAACTTTAAGCAGCCTTTTGAGTTTGGTGGCCATATTTCTCCTAAACTAGAATCTGGAGGCGGGGAAATGAGAAATAAGTAGGAAGTGGGGGAAAAAAACGAGGAAAAGCCTGACTTCCTGGGCCATTCAGACAAAAACTCAGGTTCTCCCTCGTTTCTTACCACACCCATACTATTTGTACTCTACTGTTGAGATTTTAATTACACACTTTAGTTTTACACCCATACTGAAAGTAAATAAATAGCACTCAACTTGACAACTTTAAATAATTTTCTAGTTATTAGAGGACTATTCTACATCTGTAGCGCTGCACTTTTAACAGTGTTCGATTGAAATGAACATCAGAAAAAAATTCAGATGCAATAGTTTCTATTTAATGTCTGAACATCAGTTAAATTATTGTTTATAATTTGTTTTATTAACCACCTTCTTGTGTGTTTAGGCCAGTCTGAAAGGCCTGCAGGTGTATGATGAGTTTGGTGTTTCAGAGGACCCTCTTCAGCTTCAGGCACAAGTCAGAGAGCTGAAAGGCCAGCTTGAAAACCAGACCAAGCTCGTTCTTCAGATGCAAAGTTTCCTGCGGAGGAGCTCCCTCTGCAGCGATGCAGCGGCCAACACCTCTGATCTGCTCAGCATCAGGGAACATGAAATCACACAGAAAGTGAACCACAGCCCAGAGAAGAGCGGACAGCTCAGAAAGAGAAATGAAGCAGAAAACCAGCCAATGAAAGACAGAGCTACTCGTCTAGATTTGGATCTGGATGAGGAGAAGACGCAGAACCAAAACACGAGCGAACAACTACAGCAGACACGCAGCCGTTCCACATCACCTGCCAGGTCAGCATTCGTCTCTGATTTATGAAGATTGAATTGTTTTTTCCTCTGAGTTCAAGCAGCACATCTTTTTGATTAGTTAAAGTCTTGCACTTGTCAGTGTAATGATACTAGTCTTCTCCACAGACTGGACTCTCTGGTGCAGTCACAAGCCAGGGAGCTGTCTCAGCTGAGGCAGCAGATCAAGGAGAGCCGACGGCTAGGTGTTCTGCAGCGTCGGCAGCTGGAGGAGCTGAACAAGGCCCTCAAAGACCTGCTGCACGCCAACGAAGTTGACCATTACATGGGGGAGGTTATCAAAGGACAGCTGGACAAGAGTCTGAGCCTTCTGGACAGGCTGGAGGGACGACTGGACAAAGGTAGCTGCTACTGCAAAACTATTAGTTTTATTGCATAGCTCTTTTTTTGTTTAGTTTTTTAACTTTGTTCTATGAAAAGACAACTCTATATGCATGCCCATAAAAAATTATATGTATCTTTATACTTTGAGTCAATATTTATACTTTTTTTGGTCCTTTTATTTTCAAAAAGAAACTGGCTGAATTAATAATTGTCTACTTATTTTTGCTGAATAACTTGATGTGATGTGAAAGATATTACACTATTACCCAGCAAAAAAGATGAGCATAAGACTGGTCATTTATAAACAATGTGTGCGAACAGACTGATGACAGATCTTTTTTTCTTTTCCTTTCGAAGAGTCACACGTGGAAAATGAGGACTCGGCAGCTCTTGAACTGTCTCACAGGTACATCAATAACTTCCCACACTATCCTATTATTAATTGCTCTGTGTTTATTTCATTGCATATGAACTGCATATATTATTTAGGAAATGTTTAAAGTGATGTAAATTAAAATGCCTTTATACTTTTATTATTTGGTGGAAATAATAGTTCTAATATATAGCCAATAAGCTAATTAACTATAGGATGGAATTTAGGTGAAGAATAATACATTAGCATTAATGTGCCAAATAAGGTCTAAATTAGCTGCTATAGAAGATATTGTCAGACCAAATAATATCAACAGTGCATATTGTTTCAATGGTTTTTATATCTTTTGTAACTTATTTAATTAACAAAAGGTTTTCAAGTCTGCTGGGTGACATTTAATGGAACTTTTAAATATCCCTAAAAGCTATAAAACAAAAAAAAAATAGGTTTGCAGAATGAATAATGTGCTACGTTGTGAAATAAAAATAGGTTTTTCTTCCATCATTCATAACTGCTAATTGTTGCTTAATAACAATATTGTTAAAGTTGATAGACAAGTGTACACATATTGATACACATATGGTCAAATGGTATTCTGCCTGTTGTCAAACCTGGCAGATTTGATGCAACTCTGAACACATCCTAATATAATGCCTGCCTGTGGTGCTAGTGAACAGATTCCCCTTGATCCAGTCACTAGTAAATTGAAAGCAAAATGTCAAACTATCAATTCGAGACTTAAATATTTAGCAATTAGTTTTGTTATACTTCCAAAAAAATGTAAACAAATTGCTTTCTGCCAATATCTGCATTTTTACAGTTAATGTAAATTATTACACTAACTGTGTTCATACTGACTATTTCAGGCTCTTTGTGGTTGCTAGTTGAGTTGTGTTGATATGTTTCATGACCCTAAAAAAACCTGCCCTCCTCCTCTCTTCTTGCTGTATGACCCTCAGCTGTCTGTGTGTATTGTTGGTTTTGAAAGACATCCTGCTGTTGACCTGGTTTATCAGTCAGCCAATTGGTCACACTGCCTCAGGTCACTGTTGTGTCGCACAGAAAAGCGTAAACACGCTACATTCATTTACATTCAAACCATCAAACCAAAAATTTCAGATGTTTTGAATGGTTTTGTATGACAGTATTGAGCACTTAAGTCTTATCTGGAAATAACTGGTTGATGCACTCTGTCTGGAGAACCGTGTAGGATATGTAATGAAGAAACAAAATCATTTTACACATAAACACAAACTCTAGCAACAGAAGGAATCACAGAGTGGAAGAGAAACTGACCGATGCACAGAGTAAAGATGAGAGGAGGATGTTTTTTACATTTAACATTACTCAGAGTTCAATTTGAAACAAACAAAAACCAGAATATCATTTCAAAGTTGATCGGTGTGATAAACATTAACTCATGATTGTTGGTGACAGTCTTGGGGGGCTTCAGCAGACATCACACTGGGTTCCCTCTATGGAGGAGGACACGAACGATCCTCCTGACAGCCTGTCTAGAATCCAGCAGGAGATAGATTTCCTGCGTCTGGAGTTGGAGGGGGAGAGAGAGCTGCTACATCAGCACATCAGCCTCCTCGTCCAGCAGAACCTCCACCTGGCTGAGAGCACCAGGGAGCAGATGAACCTGTGAGTGGGTTCCATCTGGACAGACAAGCGTGACGTTTGCTGTGCTCTGATCTTCCAGCTGTGTGCTTCCAACAAAACTCATCTAAAAACCTTTTTTAGAACTAGTTTTTATTGACTTCTCGTGCCCTTTTTTTTGTGGGGGGATGGTGCATTTCTGGCATATTGTGGTTGAGAATCCTAACACAAGTATTCACATCTCATTTTATCTCCTCCTAGACTGGCTAAAGAGCTGCAGGAGAAGAACCGACTCATCCAGAGCCTTCAGAGTCAGATCAGAGGCCGGAGTCCCAGCAGCCACCACAGTTCTCACTCTGATCTGTTCCACTCAGACCTAATGTCTTCATCCTGTCGCAGCAGCCCCTCCACACTAGGTGGCAGTCATGCACACAGTAAGCTACATCAAACATAGTCTTAATCTTCAAATTATTTGTGAATGTGTCTCAGAGCAAAGTTGAATTAATCATTTTCAGATAGACAGGGATAGCACGAGAATCACATTTAACTAGGTTTGCTCTGTTATAAAGAGTCCAGCCGCAGCCAGTCGAGTTATTACCACTTATTTTCCACTCGAAGCCATTGAGTTGCACTGGAGCGTGCTGCAGGACATAGATGGTGTCCAGTTTCAATGCACATCCACTTAAAGTTGCATTATTCAGTGGTGCTGATCCTGTTCAGCCCTCAATTAGTATTTCCCTATGGGAAGGTGCAGCAGAGCGTGCTGCAGAGTTGTCTCTAATGCCTGCAGAAAGAATCTGTGGCCTCAAAACTTAGCTGTCGCTTTTGAAAGTTTAGAAACATTTTTAGGTACAATTTGTTTTAGTGTGGCCGGTTATGTTAGTGAACTTTAATTTATTTTAACAGTTTGAGCATTATCTGTTTTTAATATCAGAACGATGTGATAACTGACGACAAAAGGGCGGAGAGTTTAAAAAACAAAAACTGTTTAGACTTTATAAAAATAGAATCCGTTTGAATTAAATAAAATTTGCCATTGCCTTCTTTTTTTGCCCGCTCAGGCCACCAGAACCCTGCTGATAGGATGGGAGCAGCTGAACCTCCTGTAGGAGGAGCTCAGGAGAAAGGTGCGCCCGGTCACAGAGACACTGCCAGCAGACTGCAAGGCCTTCAGAGAGAGAACGGACGCCTGCAGGAGCAGCTCAGAGGCAGCGAGGAGCTCAACGCCACCCTGCGCAGCGAGCTGGACCTGCATCGCTCAATTATGGCCCAGGCCAGTTCTCACCACCAGGAGCAGGAACAAGGCCGTGACCAGGAGGTCTCAGGGTCTCAACCAGCAGCACAGAAACAAGACGCAGACATTAGCTCCCCACAGAAAGCAGGAGAACAGCCTCACATGATGGATTCAGGTAATTCTGTCAGTAGTACATTGATTTGTATACCAGTACTGTAGCTGTGTATTTCATCTGGCTCTGTGCGTGTGTTAGGCCTGCTGGCAGAACATCTGCAGGAGATCAGAGCTTTACGACAGCGCCTTGAAGAAAGCATTCGCACCAACGACCGACTGAGGGAACAGCTGGAGAGGAGACTGGCTGAGGTGGAGAAAGACCCAGGTCTGCAGAAAACATGTTTTATTCCATTTTTTCAGCCTGTTCTTAGGAATTAAATTTTCTCTCAACCACTGTCCTTAAATGATGACCGGTGTGTGTGTGTGTGTGCTGTTTTTCAGCAGCTACAAACATTTTTATTCACGGCAACGAGGAGCAGGGTCAGCTGGTTAACGAGGTGCGATATCTCTGGGAGCAAAACCAAACCCTGAAGGAGCAGCTCAACACCGGATCTCGAGGTAAAACACAAGTTTAACAATAGGTCCAATATTATTTTAATATTTTATCCTAAACATGAAAAAAAGCACATTCATTTAGTGCGTACACATTTACTTACAATTTAATTTCCTTCAGACAAGCAGAAGGAGAACGAGAAGCTCCGGGAGACTCTGGCCAGGCGGACGGCCAAACTGGAGCAGAGCAGGAAGGAGTGTGAAGCTCTGAAACAGGAAAACACTCGACTGCAGGAGAGACTGGAGCGGTGCAGCCAGGAAAACTCCCTGCTGCAGACTTCTTTATGTTCCAGCAGAGAAGAGCTACAAAGGTGCACAAACATCCACTGTGAATCAGTATCATTACAGCAAACTGTGTATGGACCATGCATTTCTTATTTCCTTATAATGTAAAATAATGTACAAGACCACACACACACACACACGTGGATTAACGGGAGTGTGTGACCCTTTGCCCTCTGGTCTTAATGACACAGTTGAGTGAAGCTGTAACTCAAAACCAGGAGTCTGGTTTACTGTCAGACAGCTCCCCCTCTCCCTTTCATCTTCCGTGTGTGTGTGTGTGTGTGTGTGTGTGTGTGTGTGTGTGTGTGTGTGTGTGTGTGTGTGTGT